GGGGAAGAAAGAACTTGTTTGGAAACTTCTCGCCAAATATGATTCTGGTGATTTTCAACTCCTCCACAGATACCTGAGTCCAAGTTACAAACACCTTTGACCCGGATGACAAGCCAGGCCTCTTACCTAAGCATCTTCATTCCCCACTGTCCTTAGAGAGATAGTTTCACAAGAGGAATCAGACAGTGTCCCTCTTTTGCTCAAAGCTCTGCAGCAGGCCTTCCTTTTATTTAGAATAAAAATCCAAAGCTGCCGTCCTCTGACCCTTGACCTGTTCTGCAATCCCTCCTGGGGTTGTCCTCTAACCCCACCGCCAATGCCAAGTTCCCACTCACTTCCTCTCTTCCCCAGCTGGCCTTCTTCTAATTTCTCTTAACAACCTAGATTCTTTCCTGCCAAAGGGCCTTTTGCACATACTGCTCACACCGCCCTGAAAAATGTGGGCATGGCTATCTCCTTTCCATCCTTTAGGTCTCTTCACAAAACTTTGTACTTCCACCAGCCCTCCCTCTTTCCTCATCTTATCTATAATAAGTTCCCCTTTTATTCTTAGTCTTAGCCCCTATTAGTTTTCTGCACACCGCTTGGTATAATTCACAGTTATTTACGGTTATTTTATTTCTTACCTGCCTTGGTTCTGTTCCCCACACCCAGAGGAATGTGAGATTTGAGATGGAGATATAGTATCAGTTTTGTTCACTGCTGTTTCCCCCAAATTCTATTCCAGTACCTGATCCAGAGTGGATATCCCCAACTATCTGTCAGATAAATAAATTAATATAGTACTGCAGACAATTAAAAAGTATAAATTCAGGTTAAGTGGGGATAATCCATCAAAATATAGGGAGTAAGAACAAGCTAAAACAAAGGGGTGACGTGAGCACCAGAGCATTAGAAGTAAGGCTGCTGAGCATAGGCCCCAGGCCAGGAACCATTCATAGTGTGAGGGCCATGAAGGGAGCAGAGGGCAGTCCAGCAAACTGAGGGTTAGAAAGGGTGAGGACATATGCCGGTCGCCCAGCAGGTAAATGACAACGGCTGGACTATTTTAAGGCATGTGAGATTTTAAAGTTCATTTTCATAACTGCTGTACTACAACCAAAATAGGGCAAAGAACGTGAGAAGAAGAAATACCACTGCAACGAAACCAAACAAACAAAAGACAGAGAACAAGATGTTCAACATCATTTTTAAATACAGTCTAAATACAAAGAATTTTGGGTATTTTCGGTGTTGTTATCAAATTGAAAATAGGTTGTTAATGCCAAAGAGAATAAAACGAAATAGCCATCCTGCCGGTGGAAACACAATTTAGCAGAAACTTTCTTAAAAAAGTTAACCACATTTATTGAGTATTTAAAATGTTCCACTGACATAGCAAGACTACTTCAGGAGACTAAGTCAATGACAAAAATCCTATAGTGAAACTGAGATTTAACTTCAAGACTATGTGTCACAGTGCTGTGCATATTAGAGAAAAATTACCACAAATCTATATGTGTCACAGAAGGGCATGACATTGTAGTGTACTTAATTATAAACTTTCATGAACCATGATACATAATGATAAAATAAATCAATTAATGACTATGAAAGACATCCCTCAATGGAAAAAAAGATTCCAAAATGTCACACACAGTCTGATCACATTTATTAAAAATATATGAATAAAAAAAATGGAAAGATATATGGGAAAAGTATCTCATGCCATAATCTCTGCAGGATGGATAACAGGTGAAACAATTCTTTTGAGGACCTGGTTTATAAAATAAATTTTCTACAATTAGTATATAATGCTTTTTATAAGAAAAATATTATTAAGAAAAAAAAAGGAATTTCCATTGAATTCCATTCAGCTAATATCGAGCATCTACTACGTGTCAGGCTTTGTATGAGTCACTGGGGATGATCCGATCCCTTAGTCCACACAGATAACACGCAGGTAGGAAAATGGACTATTTAGGGCTTGAGTGCAGAGGCTTAAAAGAAGCACAGATGACAGAGATGATACGTTATCAAACAGCTCTCTGGAGGAGGCACTCCTGAAAGCTAGAAGCAGTATCATCCCACAGTTCAACAATGGACTAGGCTACAGCTGTGTGAAGGGATGCCCCAAACTGGTGAGCACAGGCAAGTCCTCATTCATCTGTGTGTTTGCAGCTGAAAGCTTCTTTCTGTAGAATTCCAAGCTTCATTCTATTTCATGCTTTTCCTCTTCTGGCCTCAAAGATGTTTTGAGTGTGACGTGTCAAGTGCAGGAATGAATGTGCATGCCTGAAATGTTGCTCAGAGCACTGGTGGCCACTCCTCTTGAAGGCTCACTATCCACTCCTATCATCTAGAGAAACTAGAGAAGAAAATGTAGACCCACAGAAGTACTAGAAAGATCCATCAAATTCTATGACTACAGATGACTAGCCAAGAAACAAGTACGCTGCTAAGAAATCCAGAAAACGATTAAATCCATTGTAATACAGTTTTGCAATGGACTTTGCCTAGCACAGTATGCTATTTTGATCTTTCAGAGTCAAAGAATATTGGAGAAATGCTGTGTGCTACCTGTTGGTCCTCGTGCTAGGGCAGAGAGGAACTGCAGGCAGTGGCTTAAGGCCACAACTAGCACCCTGCATGCCAGGCCTGAGGCCAGCCTCTGATCCCAGCAGATAATGAGTTTGGCAATGTCCATCTGTCTTTTCAGGATGCTAATTGCCCTTGCAGAACTCCTATAACACAAGATATAATTTAATACACCTGGCAGACTCACCACGAGTTTGTTCTTTTGTTACCTAACAGTCCAAGGTGAAGTCAAGGGTGGTCCATGCTCTGAAAACCAGCTATTTTCCCCACTAACAGGCATTTTCAAAGGATTCTTGCCGTCAGAAACCTTTTCGTATCAACTGGCAACTAGAAGCCTACAAGCCGATGTAGCAAGGTACGATGGCCTCTGGGAGTTGGCATTTATGTTACATAGATCTGCAAGGGTGCTCCAAGTGTCCCCAGATCAAACCAAGAGAGCAGTGGTGGCTTTCATGAGCCAAGATAATCATTTGAGGATGCATGCCTTGGAGTTAGGCTTTAGAGTAGGTGTGCTGCCGCAGTGTGCTGTTTGTTATCATTAAAAGTTCTAAGAAGTTCGCCATCACTGCTAGAGTCTTAGCATTTTATAAGACTTTTTATCTTTTTGCCTCATCTTTGCCCTTTTGTAGTATCCCAGCTCCTAAAAGCCTGCTTCCTGGGGAGCTACCAGAGTCCAGAGAGCTTTCCTGTGAATGGACCTTCCTGGGACAACGCCCTGCCCTTTGTGGAGGCCCAGAGGGCACTGCACTCCTGACACAGGTTCTGTCTGAAGAGTCTCTCTCCAGACTTAACTCCACTTGAGGAAGATAGTTTGAGTTGGGGATGACAAAAGAAGAATGGCTTATCATCCTCAACATGTAGGAACCTCCCATCAGTCTATGGCAAAGGCAGACTTTATTCAACACAATGCTACCCTATTACCAAGGCAGCCCAGCTTCACGGGGAACATTTCCTCTCAGGAAGCAGTTTTATTAGACACAAATCCTCTCTTTAAAAAAGCCTATGAATGAGACGTCTCCTTAGGATAGTTCTAAAAAATGTGCTCATATCAACCAACCCAAACTCCAAATTCTGAAACATCAAGAAGATAGGTTTTTTATGTCAGTGCTCTGATAAAAAAAACCATCGAGTTCTTTGTACTTTACACATATTGCATAAATCCCAGCTTTTTTAACTTAGGTAACGTGTTCACTGATGAAATTAAATCAACATCATCTTCCTTTATCTTGACAGTTCAGACGACTGAAGGCAATTGCTATTCTGGCTGTGGGGGTAGGATAGTCAGTGCTAAAATTACTATACTGCCTTAAAGTTTATCTTTGATTAAAAATTAAATTCAACTTCCCCTTATCATTTTCCATACTCCCACAACATGCCTGTGTTCTCCAAGTTAAGTCAAGATGGACTAAATATTTAATACCCCCTTCTAATTAGCTACAACTGTTACCTGATTTCTCTCTGTAAATGAATGTGAAAGGAGCCAGGAGGCCTAACGTTAACCTTCATCCACTCTCGTTATAGGAGAGAAATTATAGGCTCTAATTAGATGCTCCAAATTGCAAAGAAATAGAATTTTCATAACCAGCTTATTAAAATCCTCGGGCCCCTTTGGGATAGGGCAAATTGCTTCTACTCGGAGCTGCTTATTGTGGTATGACAACGTACAGAAGACGTGAGTTGTCTGCCTCACACAACTCACATTTCTCCCAAATTAATGAGTACGCAAATTATTCCAGCTGCCCTCTTGGCACAAGGAAAAATTGAAAATCTATGACTGCCAAGTGACGTGGGAAATTCAGCTGCTAAATAAAATCTGCTTAAGGGGACACAGCTGCTGAGGTGCCTATTTACATTAAAATTACTAAATCCATGAACATATCACAAATGTCCCAAGACATTAAGCAGCATTCAACACTTGGGTTAACCCTTTTATCATTCCAAGTTCCTCGAGGTGCAAGGGTCCCATAGAGTGAGCAGAAACATGACATTTCTACCAAGCGGCTTTTCCCCTGGGATAGCTCCTCAGCACCACAGTGAGAGGTGCAGGGCAGATGGCCCCCAGGTAAGTTCCACTCCGGGAAGCTGGTCAGTTTTACTTCCATGATGTGTTGCTACAAGCCAAAGACTTCATTCTCATTGAGATTAAACGTGGACATTAAAGCCTGGCATTTCATGAATCTTCAGCAGGGTTCTGCTATGCTCTGATCGCTTCGAAAGGGTCCTTGTAAGACTCTGACAACTAAGCAGCCGAAGTCTCCTGAAATGTTATCCTCAGGCCAGCACTCGGTGGACAGCACCCATCTCCAGCAGAAGCTTCAGTCACATGGTGGGACTTCTTAAGGAGACCCCAAGTAATCACTTCAGAACAACAGTATGAGATAGTATGGAGAACAATAAAGAAAATAAATAGCAGAGAAATGAACTGAGGATGTATTCTTTTAATACTCATTAATATGACCTATTCCTAAAATTTTCCAAACTAAGACATTTTATTTAAATATCTCCCAAATCCCTGAATCTCATCAAGGACCAGGTCCAGGTGAAAATCCTGAATCCAAAATTGTGGCCCTCCCAACCGGATCCACGTCTCAGCCACACACAACACTAAAAACAACCACTTTTCCACAGTCTCGGGTCACCAAAGAATGTCTTCTCAATAAGAAGAAAGCTCTTGCCGGGGATTTAGCTCAGTGGTTCTGGCGCCTGCTGCGCAAACGCAAGGTCCCGAGTTCGATCCCCGGTACTAAAAAAAAAGAAGAAATCTCTTATTGGATTTGTAAGTGAACTTTTATAAAAAACAAGAATCACAAGTTATAGGTTGGGTTCTCTGGCTAATTACAAAAACCTGTTTTGTTTGCTGTCCTGAACATGCTGCCCTGTGTGCTTTATATTTGTCCAAATCATGTAAAATTATAGAATGATGTCATCAAATAGATCAGGCTCAGGGGGAACAGATGACGATTCTATAAACACTTTTCACCCTTAAACACACAGTCTAAACAGAATACTTCCCTTCCCCGGAAGAGAAAAATGGCAACAAATGAGATTTAAAACACAGAATGGGGACATCAACCCATAAACATTTGAAGATAATTAAGGAGGCACAAACATAAATGAAGATAAGAGGCAAAATGTGGCTTTGAAAATGAAAAAAAAGGGGCCTTGACACTTGAAGGAACCAGATACCTGATCAGTTTCAATTACACAGTGATGGTGTTGATTCATGCCATTACCTTGCACATTTTTGCTTGTATCCAAGTGTTTGTCTAAATACCTAAGTAATTCTACAGAACACCTTCCTTGCCTTTGAACAATGCTGCCTCATTTAGACTCTGAGGACTCAGACATTTTAAGACATAGTTTTGGAGTTCTGAATCCTGCTGAAAACCCAAAATCTCGGAGAGGTGGTATTTGTAGACATTTCCCAAGGATGGATCACACTGTCCCAGTAAAGACCAATTCTCACAAATCCTTCACTATCACTTTCATTCATCATGACAATTCTGACTCTTCTAGGGGAACTAGGAATCTAGACAGGTTCTGAGACAAACACAAAATCAACACAATGTGACCTGAAAGAGAGAGCAGAAGATATAAATGATTGTGACTGTAACCTGGGAAAAGTGTGCTGACATTTTATCTTGTGTCCAAAAACTCTAGGTATAGACACAAGTGGTCCTTAACAATTAGGGGATTACAGAGTCTTTAAAAATTGCTCTGAGATATGGGTCAGGAGAACCTGTTGAATGAGAAGGAAAGAATCAAGTGTCAGTTACCCATAATAATCACAGGGACAGTCACATGGCCAATATGAAATGTCAAAGATTCCAACTCTCCATTTTAGAAAGCAGGATGAGTTTGCATGAAGATATAACTTCTTCATTACAGTATTTGGAAGTAGTGTGATTATTAAAATATGAAAAGTGTTTATATAAACAGGTGTACATCTATGCCTACATATATGGTCACTTAGATATATAACCACTAGAGAGATTTAGATGCAATCCCTGACCTCAGATTCTTTTGATTTGTGCCAAGTTGATTTTTTTAGGATAATTACCAGTCTTGCTTTGTATGGTAGATCAAATGGGCTGACAGTCTGTGAAGCAGAGTTCTCTATCTTTCATTGTAAGGACACTGTTACTTGATCCTTTGACAGTATTAATTTAGAAAAGCAAACCAAAAGGTGTGTTAAAGGGAATTTCAATTAATTTTATTTCAGTAATGCAGCAGTGCTTGTCAGAAGGTACGACAATGTGTAGCCAAGAGTCAGTCTCTTTGCAGGACATTAAAATATTCTCTTTTAATCTAATTAATTTCCAGGAGAAAGCTACATACTCCAAAGTGACAACTCCCATTAGGCAGGCTCTCATATCTGTGTGCTCTACCTTGGTCTTGTGAACAGAGTGGCCATCAGAAGCATAAGTCAGGCCCATGGCTTCCATACAGACAAATCTAACTCAACATTTCTCAAATGTGATTTCTGTGCATGGTCATGGCTGCTACCAATGTGGATCCCATGGGCAACTGCAGCACCTCCAAAGAAAATTTTCTATCTTGTTCATTACTATGGTCTTAGCAACTAGAAAAACAAAGTGAAATACCTAAGTGTGAAAAGATGCTGGTCTAGATCTTCAATGTGCTAATAACATGGAGTATACATTTTTGAGTGGGGTACAGACTAAGACTTTCTAAGCTTCCCATATATATTTAGTAAATAAATAAAATACCCCAAGCAACACTGATTTTTTAAAACATAGCACCTGTAGGGAACTTCAGTCTCTGGGGAGAACTACTGCACGACTGCACTGAGAGAGAGGCAATACCCCTTCTAAAGCACTTACATGGAGCAAAGCTGGCATTTCTGTGCATTTCACCAACAAAGGTGCACCTGAATGCACACCATAATGATGACTGTCCAAGCAGCACTGACAGATGGAGTCCAACTTCCAGAAAGAAACAACTTTTACAACTAAATTAAAAACCATTAGCTGGAGAAATCCTTTTCCCAGATATGATGAATTAGTTATGGTTAAACGAATCGTAACACTGAGAACATCTACTAGAACATCTATTATCTATCTTACCTATTAAGGCTGGATAAACCACACACACACATGAGTGCCAGTGTTAGAGAACTGTGGCAACCAGGGCTTAAGGCACCCAATCTTCAAGTGAAGACCATCACAGGGAGTGAGGCTCTGCTTCACTGCCATTTCCTCCATCATGGTATTGGCAGTTTATGCCACACGACAGGAAAGTCAAGTAGAAAATAGCAATCCAGAGTCAGTGGCAGGCTTAGTACAATAGGAAGGCAAAAATTGGGATTGAGGGTACATAGAATGCCAAAGTTTCTCAAAGAAATAGGAACTCTACAGGAGCAAGTCTTTCTTCTGTAGGAAATTTCTCTTTCTGGCATTTTGTAATGGCTGAGTTGTACGTGGGTTAGGAAAGACTCCTCAAAAGCAAGCAGAAGCAGCAGCCAGAGACTGAAATGGAAAGCAGAGTCACAAAATGCTGGGAGATAAAAATCTGAAGTTAAGGGTACACAGAGGAGGAGGAGGAGCACAGGGATAAACTGCAGACTTTTGACTGAAATCTCTGAAATGGCTATGACCCAGCAGTAAGGACAAATGATAAATTTTAACTGGATCACGATACTCTGCCTGTACAATGTCTGCCTGTAGCACAATTTATTTTCTTCAGAAGGAATGTAAGAACATCCAAAGTCTCAACAATTTTTCAGAGACATTTTTAGGCAAGCATGCCAAGAAACAGTCAGATAACTGAAAATCAGGAGGGCAGAAACAATCAGCGATAATACACTCACAGATGACACAGATACTATAGCAGCCAGGCATGACTCTGAAATAACTATGATTATACATCAAAGAAAATAAAAGATAAAGTAAAAAATAATTGGATAGAATTTCTACAATCGAAACAGTGACTAAAATTAAGAATTCAGCATACAGATTTAATGGATTAGACATAACAGAAAAAAATACTAATGAATTGAAGAAATCAGTACCTAGACTGAAATACAGAGAGCAAGAAGTAATGGAAAACAAAGAAATAGCAAAAAATAAATGTGTGAGCTAGTCAAAGTAGCTGATATGTAACTGAAATGCCAAAGGAGTCTAGGGAAAGATAATAATCATCCAGCCACAGATGCAGGAAGATATACTCCAAACAGAATACACATGGAAGGAAAAAAGTATACATTTCTAGTGAAAATTCCAAAGGGAAACAGAAAGTAAAAAGAATTAAGATGTGTTATGTACATGTACCAACCCTGCACAGTAAAAGTAATCATCATGTACTGCAAACATGGACTGATAAAAATTTTTAAAAATACTTAAAGACAGAACCCACTACTAAGCAATAAGACTGATGACTGAACTTATCAATAGAAATAATAAAAGGTAAAGGCAATAGAACACATTTTTGAAATGTGTTGAAAAGGGTTTTAAGTCCCAAACCAGGTATTATACCCAATAAAAGTATTATTTTAAATGACAGCAAAATTCAAACATATTCAGGCAAATTTATCACAGAATTTAAAAAATAATTTAAGGAGAAAGGAAATAACCCCAGTAGAAAACAGAAGGGAATTAAGAACATAGAAAAGGTGGTGATGTGGGGCAAGAAAAGTCTGAGTAAATCTAACTAAGTATTATCTATTTAAAATAACAATAATCTTGGTTTGGGAATTAAGCTAGCCCCAAAGACAAGCAGGGTTAAGTGGAGTTAGACTGTAATAAGTATGTACATTACCTGCAAAGTGGTAAAAGAATTTCAAATAGATTCTAGTAAATTGAAAAATGTGATCATATCTAAAGTTACCACTAAAATGTATAAAGTAATATAAACTAGCAAATAGAGGAGAAATTCAGTCTTAAAACATTTTTGTCTTCTTGTAAATTGATCAACTAATGAAAAGCATAGATGGGAAAACAGCAAGATAGTAGATAAACTTAAATATATAATAATTACATTGAATATCTACTATTTTTAGTGGATCTTGTCCCTTTATGTTCAAATCATGTAAGCACATGTAATATAAATCTCATATACTACTAATCCTTTTAATAGATTTTAAAATAAAAGGGCCAAATCATCAGGAAAATATAATCACTCAATATTTGTGTCTAATAATGACAGAGTCACAATAATACATAAAATAAAAATTGGCTGAACTAAAAGGAGAAATAGAAAAATACAGTGTCACAGGGGGGATTTTAACACACCTTTCTGACTGACAGAATAAGCTAACAGAACAACCAGTAATGACACTGAATATTACAATTATTCAATTTGACCCCAGTGGCTTCTATGGAACACTGGATTTATCAAATGCAAAATGCATTTTGTTTACAAGTGTTCAAGGATCATTAACCAAAACATGCCATATGCTCATCTATGAAGTAAGTCTAAATGAATTTGAAAGGATGAATATTATACAGACGGTCTTCAATATCTCAGTGGAATAAGCTAAAAATCATAAAATACTAATTAGAAAATTTGGAATCAAAATTGCTTTATAATTAAATAATACAATTTAAACAACTCATAAGATAAAGAGTCCACAATAAAAATCAGAAAATGCTTTGAATTCAAGGATAATGATAATATGATATCTAAAAGCAAGATAACCATTAAGCAAGTAGAGAGAAAATAGTATCTGTAGTTAAGAGAGCAAAAAAAAGAAAGGAGGATAAAAATTAGTGATCTGAGGTTCTG